AAATAAATTTAAGCAAGAAGATTTTAGTTACTTGAATAAAAACAAGGCAGTACGTCTTGTCAGACATGTAGTCATCTCACAAAATGTCTTTCAAGATGAAGACCCTATTGTTATTCTTTTAACCAAAATCTACCCTTGCTATGCCTTGTCTCTATAGAGGTGTTTTTAATATGAAGACAGAATCAAAGAAAACTCATCATGTCCTTAGTTTGAAAGGATACCAAATTCTTACAATTTCTGTAGAGTCTGTATATCTGATGATCATGTGCTGCTTACTCTTATGACAGACCACGAGACGACCAAGATCAGACAGAGAAGACTCAGAAAATCAGATCCCTTCATCTGAAATTTTGCCACTGGACTTTTACTAACCTCTTATACAGCTAATACTTTGTGTGATTTCATGTGTCATATTAGCTGAGACCTCTACCATGTCTAAAACTACTGGCCTGTGATCTGATGGTTTTCAGTACTATGGCATATTGATTTCTTTTCCATGAGGCTTCATTTAATCCTAAATATTTCTGCACTTCACATTAAAACCTTTTAGACAAATTGCTGTAATTAAGTCATTATTTTGCTTAACTGTTGGTCTTTCTGATAAAATAATCTAGTTTATCAGATAATGGGAAATGCACTTATGCCCACAGTTATTGCCCAGTTATTTTCACATTTTTTATGAAACTGATTGGAATAAAATGATGGAGATGTCTTCCCACAAATCAGTGCTGCTGGGAGACACTGCTGACTCTGTTTTTTTCACTTCTGGCTGTTCCACTCCCCCACTTTTACCAGTGGAGAATTCATTATGACTGTCTGTAATCCACCTCTGAAAAAAATTAGCCAGGTTAGTTTAGTTATCTTACCCTAGACGATTTTGTCTGCAACAGTCAGGACAATGATAAGCCAAATCCACCATGCAGAGAGGAGCAGGAATAAACAGCTCCTGTTGACCAGGTGGATGCAGTAACAGTATTTTTCTGTTGCTGAGGAGGATGAAGTGCCAAACTCCAAAATTGTGGAGGTCTTTCCCTATGTGACCTGTATGCTGCTTCAGCAACGTTTTCTTTCAGTCCAGAAGACATAATTTTTTAATCTCTGGCCATAGCATTATTTCATTTAAGTTTAATTACAGCCCTTTTTAGAAATAGTTAGCAAATAATATATAACGTCATGGGCCCGGATCACACAAAATACAGAAGTAGTTACACTCTTTAACTACAGCAACATCCATTAAAAAAAAAATGTGTTGCCTGTTCCCTAATCACTGCAGGGAACAGGATACAGGAAAAGAAATTTTCTCTCTCCTAATGACTAGAAGCTGGAGACATAGGCTTCTGTGAACCTCATGAAGTTCAATGGGGCTGAATGTCAGGTGCTGCCCCTGGGTCAGGGAAATTGCAAGCACAAATCCAGGCTGGGCAGAGAATAGATGGAGACTAGCCCTAAGGAGAAAGACTTGGAGGTGTTTGTGGATGAGAAGCTCATCGTGACCTGGCAAAATGCATTTGTGGTCCAGAAAGCCAGCTGCATCCTGGGCTTCACCAAGAGAAGTGTGGCCATCAGGTTGAGGGAGGGGATTCTGGTCTGCCCCACCTGCAGTGCTGTGTTCAGCTCTGGGCCCCAGTGTAAGGAAGGCCTCTGTAAGGAATCTAGAGAAGGACCATTAAATCCAGGCCTGGAGCACCTCTGCTGTGGAGACAGGCTGAGAGAGCTGGGGCTATTCAGCCTGGAGAAAAGAAAGCTCCATGGAGACTTCACAGCACCTTCCAGTACCTAAAGGACCTAAAGAAGGCTGGAGGGGGACTTTTTATAAGGACATGTGCAACAGGACAAGGAGGAATGGCGTTAAGGAGAAGTGCACAGTCCTTGTGTTCAGTGCACAATCCTTTACACTCTCAGCCTCACTGGGTACATTCTCTTGTGGAAGAAAGGGTCAAAGTTTGCAAGCTGCACTTGTCAGCTGCCAGAAATGTAAGCTTTTATTTGGAATCTGATAATGGTCCCCTGAAGCTCCACATAAGAAAGACTCAGACTCAAAGAATCAACATCTACTACCGTTGTAATCTGGTAGAAAGACTGCAGAGGCCGTGAGAGAGTTCAGGGGACTGTGCAACTGGCAGAGTCAGAAGGAAACTACTGATGTGAAGTTTCAGTTGAGCATTCCCCTGTTGCCATTTTTCCTGCCAGAGCTGTCTTTCCCACAGATCAGGGTCCCTCGATCTCTCAAGCCACAAGTTCAACCTTTAGCCAGGCAGTAGGTCAAACAAAACAACAGCAGTGTATCTTTGTTGCTGCAGATATTAACCTTTAGAGCCCAGTTACTGAGCAGCTACAACCTAGAGTTTACAAGCCCTGGCATTCATTCTGCGTTTCATGTACCATGACTGGCTTTACTAATTGGCTGAATAGCAGAATTATGCATTCAATGCACAAATGCATGCTAGTTTTGCATTTGGCATGTGTGTACTTGCCAAATATTTTTGAGCTTTTTTGTCTACCAGGGATTTATGTGTTTTAAGTGAGTAGAGTCTGTGTAGCTACCTGCAAGTGGTCCTAGCTTCAGCTGAACCTCACTCTTGTTTTCACTGTCAGAATGAGCAATTCTCATTACTCCTGAACTCAGCATGAGGCATATGCAGTAACTAATAATTTTCATGATAATTCTAATAGTGATACTAATTAAAGGAAGTACTGTGTGTTCAGGAGTTTATGGTTTGGACCCTTTTTCTCACCTGCGCTAAGAAAAGGAGTCCTTTTACCTTGTAATCTTTTCACAGTTTGTTTTGCATAATTTCTCTGACTTCTTTGGGTTGGTCTTATCTCCTTTTAGCCTCAAACTTTTGATTAAACTTAGACTGAAGTGGGTGTTTTCAAAACTGAATAAAATGCTCAGCTATTATCAGCAATGCACTTGTAGAGGTATCTCACACTGGTAATGTCTTAATTCTAGCAGGAGAAGCCCCATGTAAAATAACAGGGTGATGAATGTGGCTTTGATATTGCCAGGAAAGGACTCAAAGGAAGATGAGTATTTTGGGCTGCTGATCATCTCAAGAGCTCTAAGGTCTCTCCTTGGGTATGAAATGAGATGATCAGTAACAAGTAAGAGTGAGATGGTTGCAATGTGGGAGGTGTCTTAATTTTTGACTTTGTTTTTCACTAGCCAAGTCTCTTTTAATTTGTAATAAATTTCTTTTCCCTGAGTGGAATGTGTTTTGCTAATGATGTTAATCAGCAAGTAATTTGTGTTCATTTCAACCCATGAGCTTTTTAATCTTATTTCCTGCCTCAGTCTTGTTGAGGAGGGCATGTGATTGAAGGCAGATTTACACTGGATGTTATGCTTGCATTTAGTTGTAACATAATATACTCCACCTGTGGCTAATCCATGGCATGTAAGAACATGTCACAACTAATAACTAATAGCAATGGGGCTGTATTTTAAGTGGTAGAAGCCATTTGGCTGCTGCTTGTTGTTCAACCTCAGCATTGCTAATACCCTTGTCACTTTAAAAAGACGTTCACATAGAAATAAATGCATTTCATACATTCTCACTGTTGCTATTCTTGCCTTCTTCCTCCACTGATGTTATTATCATGTGAGGTCTAATTTTGATGGCAATCTCCAAAAGCCCTTGTCACTTTACTGTCTATTATGTGCCAGTCCTACACCTGTGGTGCTATATAAATGCTAATAATACATCAATATGCTCATTCTTTGTGAGTTCTGTAGGTGGAGTTCCATCTGGTTTGTATATGTCAATTCAGATGCTGGTGTGAAATGTCATTGCTGTTCAGAATTTGTGATGGTTTATGAGCAGTTGGGAAATGACAGGAAAAAAAATCACAGGACTGGACCTGCTTATGATTTGAAGACATCCAGCCCTGTGCTTAAGACAGTGGCTGTGACTGGTGTGGAAAACCCAAGTGGAGTAATTTTCCTCTGAAAAGCCCTAGTTTAAGTAATTGGGACATTAAACAGTCTTTCCTGCTTTTTCTGAATATTTTCAGCTCATCATAATGTATTTACAAAAGTTTTGGTACTCTGAGTACTGACATTTCTTTCACAAACAGTACTTACTTTGGGCTTTGGGAGTGAGCGGTAGGAATTTGGAGCATGCCCAGGCTCCCAAAAAATCTTTCCTGCCTTCAGCCATACAACTGGTCTCAAATGGGCAGGTCCTCAGCTCCAGGAATGATCAATCTTAGTTTCCATGTAGCCATGAAGGAACTCGGCAGCAGGGAGTGATGCAAGGTCAGAGTAAATTTATGCGAAATGTGATGACTCTGTGAATGTATCTTTTGACTATTCCCTGGGCTGCAGTTGTTTCCTTCCCCATGAGATACTGATGGATTTCACTAAATTAGATAAGAAAACTTGGTCTTAAGAACCTTGTAATCTTAAGTGCAAGTAGCTAGAGAATAGAGGAAAATAAATTTGCAACTTTTCCTAGTTGCAAATTGAATTATGTCTGGCCAATCTAAATTATATTCTCAGCTGCTCTAAGTATACATTCCTTGCTAAGGATTTATGTTACCATGGATTAAAAAGGGAAGAAATTCAGCGTTTTGTTGGTAAAGAGGAAATAAGTTTTCCTTTAATTTCATCTCTTGGCCACTTCCACTGGAACAGGTTGTGAACAAGCCTACATCAGGAACTTTTAAAACCAGGAAGTCCTGATAATTAGTAGAAATTAGGATCTTAAATACTACAGTGCTTGGTGCACAGCCTGGATACATATTTGTTACAGAGATACACACCCAGCTGCACAGGGGCTGTCTGGTGGGGTGAGACTAAGAAATGGAAGAGTTTAATTGCGCTTGGAAAACCATTTCATCGCCATCACCCAGGGATTAAGGCTGCTTAGGCTGCATGAGAACAGAGCAGCAAAGAAGGCAGGGACAGCCCTGGGGCTGCGGGTGGGAGGAGGAGGAGGAGGAGGAAGGCAGCTGCTTGCCAGCCCCCGGAGCCTGCCAAGTGCCGGCCAGTGTGTCAGCATGGCCGGGAGCCGGAGCAAGGCCTCCCTCCGTGTGTGGCTGGTGTGCCCCGCGCTGCTCGGCTGTTTCCTGCTGGGCTTTCTTACAGGTGAGTGCAGAGAGCCGGGGCTGAGCCCCAGCTTCCCTCCCCTGCACACACTCGTGTGTGCGCCCCCGGTGTGATTAACTCACCGGCAGGGAGCTTTTGCTGCTCTTCAGAGGCGTGATAAAGTATTTGTCCCACTGCTTTTCTAAGCTTTTCTGTCCAGCAGTTTCAGTTTTCAGGGAGTAAGGAACAGAACAACCCTGTGCTTCAGCTCAGGACAAGCCCTGGTGAGCTGACAGCTTCCCAAAAGAGGCAGCCAGGCATTCAAAGAGAAGAAATTAGTACAAGAGTTTGAGACTTCAGCGATTGCAAAATCTCCCAGATTTATTTTGTTTTAGTTTTTATTTCCTGTTTTTTACTGGAGATATTTTAAATGCTCCTATTCTGTTGCTATTTTAGAAATTAAGGGTAGAATGTAGAGGAGGAGTTTGACTGACAGCCAAGTTACTGAAGTTTTCATTATGCACAATGAACTTTACTAGAGATTCTTTTCTGAAGTCACTTGCAGCATTTGATTTCAAATTAAAATTGCGTGGCCTTTTTAAACTTGTGTTGTAACACAAACCTAACTCTAAAACATGAAAGAAAAATCCATGAGGGCTATTAAATATATAAAATATTATTTTAATTTTGGAGATCCCTGAGCTGCTAATTTCTGCCACTTGTGCTTATACATTTCCCTGAACATGTCTTTTGGCCCAGCTCCAAAACAGGATACTGGGCAAGGTGGACTTTTAGTCTGATCAAGCATCACTGTTCAGTTCAGAGTACTACTACAATTGTATTTAAGTGTAACAGGTCACATATACTGTGCATCTGACAGCACATGTATTTATCTTCCTTATGAAAATTTTTCTACTTTGGGGTTGTCTAGCTACAATAATAAAACAATTTTTTTTTGTTGTTGTTTTTTTTTCTTAAGACAAACTCATACATTTATATACCTCTGCTACTACTATTTATGGCTACTGAATAAACATTTTAAAACTCGCTTGGGTGACAGTTAACTATATTCTTTTAATTATTAAATAGAATAACCCAAGTCTGTAACTATTGCAATGCTGGCAGGGTGGCTGTTGAGCCCTAGACCTTCACTTAAAATATACTTACACATCTATTTCAATATACATGCATAAACTAAAAAAAGTAATTTCATCGTGAGTATCAGGAGTTTGAACCTCACACTACAAACAGTTAATTGAGAATTTAAACTATAGTATAAAGTTAATGAGAGATGAGTCTACCCTAAAAAGGGGATTTACTAGGGATTTAGGGTTTACTCTTTTCAATATGTCACTTTTAAGCATTTCAGTCAATGAAATATATTTTACTTTTCTGCTTGAGCCCTCAGACACTGGCAGAGGGTGCTCTAAGCCCTGTTCATCCTTGTTGTGTTAACTGATTCATACCACAGGCTGCACCTGTGCTCAAACATGTGAGGAAATTCTTGCTAAGTGGGAAACTTTTCAAATGTGTTTCAGGGTGGTTTACAAAACTGACTGAGAAAAACCCCAACTCTTCAAATGTGCATCAAAATGTGAGACAGAAATTTGTGGCTGAAATGAAAGCAGAGAACATCAAGAAATTTCTTCGGTAAGCCTTGTGCATCGTTTTTTGAACAATTTTATCAGTCAAAAATGCCAGAAAGTGATAACATCAGCTCCAAGGAAGGGCCTCTGAAAGCAGAGCTTTTAAGATGCTTTAGAATTGTTTAGTTTATACAAAATGTCTGAGGGAAGAAGGAAAAGGCTTACAACTCTTCTGTTCCTCCCTCCCCATTTTTGAAGTTGCCTTTTTGAAGTGGTTATGCAGTCAAGTGTGCTTCCCTCATGCATTACTGCCAGTGCATACCAGTCTTCATGATTTCCCTTCATCATGATTTAATGAAGTGTTCCTTTTTTTTTTCTTCACAAGTATCTGAAGCCCCAACCTCAGATAAATGTTTTCATTCAGACTGAGATGATTTTACTCTGTTTGGGATACAATGACTGACATGAATTACATCTGACTGATCATCTGTTTAGTGTCTCTTTAAACTTTCAGTTTGAGTAGCTAGTCTAAGTAGAAAATTAATCTATTAAAAACCAATGCTACAAATTTGCATGGCACTGAGTTGCATGTATACTTACAATTTATAATTCCTTTAGTGTGGCCATACTGGATAATGTGCTGTTAATTGGGAGCTCTGACATCCCATTTTACCCTCTTCTGTTTCAGAGATAAAGGGCTCTGTCCATGGTCAGTTGCATGTATGGTTGGTTAAAGCTTGCATGATGTTAGTAAATATATTTTTTGCATTGTAGTGCATCCATGCAGTTCTTTAAAAACATCTAAAGTACTGGGGATATAAAAATACCCTTTTTTTTTTTTCTTCATTCTACGAAAATTTAAAAAACCCACATTATTTGATATATTTATATTTTCTATAGAGGAACTAATATATTCACATGAAAAATAAATAAATACTCAGTCTGGCTAGTAAAATGTTTGTATTCAGCGTGTAAGCCAGCAGCTGCATCAAGAACATCAAAGAATTACTGGCAAATTTGATTTCTGTAGATTTATTCTAAACCCAAAAGGTTTCTTACCTAACATCAATAAGCTTTTCAAGTCTACAGGCCCAATCTTATTTTGTATTCCTTGCTTTCAGTAGATTGGAGAGTTCCTGAAAATTATTTTTGAGTGAGAATCTAGGCAACATAGCATGGCATAGCTCTATATTATACCAAAGTCTCTTGGCTGTGGGGTGTTAATGGTTTCTCATTTGTCTGCTTGCTTTGGTGATGGGCCAAATGCTTCATGCTGGTTGGGGATTTTTTTTTTGCCTGAATTCAAATAAAAATCAGGAAATGCAGAGAAATTGTATTAATATACTATCCAAAAAGTTTGTCAAAGACATAAGAAAATGTGAACTTGAGAATTTTGATCTATATTCTTCATTTTTCAGACTACTACATCTGCTTTTATCACCTGGGAAAAAGCAACTATGAGACTCAGAAAATGCAGATGCTTTGGTCTTAGTATTTTATCAGAGCTCTGAAAAGGATTAAACTGTTTAGAATTTGAAAAAAAAATCATGTTTTTTTACTGATGGCATATATTTAGTACACATAAAGAATTAAAAGTACTTAAAATACTAGTGGGAATTAAAGTCCAAGAGGCAAACAAGCAACAGGGTTTGGCAAAGGTTGCTGCCAGACTTTGGTGCATACCTTCACAGTTTAAAGAGAGGGACTGACAACAGCAGAGAGCAAAAGGTTGTAGTTTACTTAAAAAATCTGGATGCATTCCAATCCTGCAGCCAGGGGAGACTCATGTGAAAGACCTTTATGTTATGATTGCAATGTTGCTGTAGATGAGAAATTCTGATGATTGCAAGAGGCCCCAGGTGGCTGGAAAAGGCTGATAGTGTGCCCATCTTAATAAGGACAACCTGGAGGACTCTGAGCTGGTCAGCTTCAGGTCTGGAGTGGTGATAAAACATCCTTCTGGAATCTGTTTTCAAACACACGAAGGACAGAAATATAGTTTGGAGGAGTCAGCATTTATTTACTATTTGTTTGTATGGTCAGCATATTGCCTCCTGTAAGGAAAGGACTGACTATGTGCATGAGAGGAGACATTATAGTGGCTGTAACAACCTTGACTTTAACAAGGCTTTGGACATCATTCTCCTTTGAGGGAGTGCACACTGCAGAAAAGGGTTGAAAACAGTCTGAAGTGACAGGCTGGGGTGATATTAATCATGGTATTTGCTACCACTAATTAATGGTAATTGCTGGTATCTGCCATCTGTGGGGCAGCCATTGATAAGTAGCCTGTTGGGAATTGGAAGCTGATGCAGGGTACCTGGCTGACTGATGAGCTTTCACCATTCCTTTCTTGTTCACTGGGCCGAACAGATTGTACACAGATTGCTGTAGGGCAGCCCAGAGGGATGGATTCTGTTTGTTTGTGACTGTTTATCAACCTTGTGTGTTGTATCTGATATGGAAGTAAATGTTGTTAAGAAGGTTTTGTTATTCAGGCTTTTGATTAAGAAAAAAGAGCAAACCTGTGCAGATCATTTAATGTAATGATTTTCAAGTTAAACTTATTAGGACACGCTGTGACAGCAGTACAAATCCATGATCACATACCAGAATTATCTGGAAGGCTCCTTTCTGAATTCATAGCTTTCCCATATTTATTCATGCTTTTTGCATACTGCTAATATTCTTTTGCTGAATCTTTGACATTGATTTTCATTACTTGTGTGTAGATGTGGCTATTCCTGTTATGCAAAGAAGAAATTCAGTTGACTTATCTTAAGGCCTCAGGAAAGATCCTCTGCTCTGAGTATATTTTGTACATGTCCTGATGCAGACTCTGATAAGCAATCATGTTTTACAGCTCACACTTTAAGACCTTACTGTCCATGCAATGTGTCTTGAAGATTAGCTTTATAAATACTGATCCTATTTCACTTTTGGGTATCTCTGCCTTTGCTGCTTACCAGTGGTTTTCTGTTTTGTTCTAGTTCATTTACCAAGTTGCCTCACCTCGCAGGAACTGAACAGAATCTTCTTCTTGCCAAAAAAATTCAAGGCCAGTGGAAGGAATTTGGATTGGATTCAGCAGAACTTGTTAATTATGATGTGCTTCTTTCATACCCAAATGAAGAGCAGCCAAACTACATTTCACTAATTGATGAGCAAGGGAATGAGGTAATCTTTTCAATGACAAAACTTTGTTAATGTAAAACCTAAAACACCTCCAGTGATTTTCTGTTAAAAAAGTGTCATCCTCGGTATTCTCACGTACTCAGCTCAGCATGTGCTTTATATTATTAAAAAATAATCTAGTGCAAAGGGACTTCATATTTAGAAATGGTTTTCCAGGCTATGCAGAAAACACAGCAGAGGGCTGAGATTTCAGTGCCTCATATGGAAGAGTGAGGATGTGTGGAGAAGCTGCAGTTAACACCTGTAGACCATAAGGTGTTAGAAGGGTTCAGCTTGAGGATACATCTAGGCTAATATCCTGTTTCCATAAACAGCTTTAAGTGGATGCACAGGGATGTTTAAGAACAAAGAAATGTATTTCAGGCATGCAGTTCTTCCAGTGTCTAGCTGTTTTCAGCTCAGGGCTTCTCCAAATGTGCTGAAATTAGTCTCTTGAAAAATTCTCATTAGACCTGTTCCAAGTATTTATCCAGTCAGTGACCCTCATTACATCTCTCTTCCAAGTACCTATCCAAACCCTGCTTGAACATCTGTACAGTATTTGCTTCCACTACATGCTGAGGTAAGGCATTGTGGAGATACTATCAATTTTATGTAGTATTGCCTTGTTTCCCTTGCTCTGAACCTGATCCCACTGGCTTCCTGTGGTATCTCCTAAGTTAGTGTTGGAAGTACTAATGAAGTAGTCAGCCTAGAGACATCTCTCTTTTGAAAACCTGGGGAAATGAAGAAGTAGATGTAAATTCTGACAAGGATCCTGAGCAAGGAGAGGAGGTGGGACTGCTAGAGAAGCATCATAGCACATAAATAAGGATGAAGAGCCAGGGTAGAAAGTAAGGAATGCGTGCTCAGGGATGACACGAGCTTAGTGGTGAAAGAATGAAGAAGTTTTTCCAGAAACCCTGTCACAGTGTCGCGGCTACAGTCTCTCAAGGTGACAGAAGGTGGATGTGCACCTTAAAGCAACATGAGTGTTACAATGCATAGCGATGAAAGGCAGCACTGGAGTTTAACTGGAGCATCACTGGATAAGAGATAATGAGAATAATAATGCAGGTGGGAGAAACCACAGAAAGACACCTGGGGTGGCATGGATGAACCAGATGTCTTTTTCTGTCACCACCTCTTGGTAATTTTAAGCTACTTCTCTCCTTAAGTTCAGGGAGTGACTGATGAGCATCTTCTGACACGTGATCTGTCTCTTTGCATTCTGTTACAAAATTTCACCTCTGGATCCCTACCCGTGTTTCTGTTTGAACTTATGTGTGCTAGTTAGAACTGTATTTTTTGCTATCAATTCATGGAAACTGTAATTTATACTGATGACAAAGCTAACTAACTTGGCAAAAGCCAGGGGTTTTGATACTTTTGGTCCGTAGGACAGCAATATTTTGAAATAATAATTATTTAACAAGGAGTCTGATGCACAGAAACTGAATAACTGTCTTCTGACTTTAGTTTAAACTATAATTAATGTTTTTTTTAGTGTGTGAATTTGTGCCTAGAATGTTTGACCAAAAACTACTGTCATTTTATTTTATAGGTTTTCAATACATCGTTGTTTGAACCACCTCCACAGGGGTATGAAAACGTTACTGATATACTACCACCATATAATGCTTTTTCAGCACAGGGAGTGCCAGAGGTAAGAAAAGAAATTATGTAATGGTACTATTACCTATGTTTTGAAACACTTTTTGGGACAGATTGCTCCAACTTCTCAAAATATTTGTTGCAGTAGTTTTAGTTACCATTTGTCTTAATTAAAGAACACTTAGACACAGATAGACACCATGTTATACAAAGGCTGAGCTTTCTCAAATTGTTCAAACTCTGAATCACATAATAAGTGAAAAATTTTTATCTTGATGGAAGATTTTGGATACATCTCAGATTGTTCCACATTATTCAGTCATATGTAGAGGACGTGCTTAAGGCACAGGTAGAAGAAGCATTTAGTAGAATAGCACTAGAATATTTATATCAAGTTGGAAGACATTTTAGATTAAATGAATGCCTTCAAAGGCCACAAAAGGTCCTCACTAAATCTGCTAATTCATTATGGAACAGGTCAGGGACAACATTGCATTGCATGAATGAATGAAATTTTATAATAGTGAGTGTTTGTGTGTGTAAGTCATATCACTGCTTTGTCACAGTCAGAGAAGTTTGTCAGTTTACCAAAGTACTCTGGTTGATTTTCCACCCTGTTTTTAGGCCTGTTAAGTGCAGGATAATAGCCAATCAGAATTTTGAGCCAAAGCTTCCTATAGAATATCGTGGATCTTTTGCTGTTGTTTTTATGGGCACTGGATCTCAGTTGTAGAAATGAAAAAATAGTTAAAAATCCTCTGTCATACATAGTGAATGAAACTTTATTTCTGATAATGAGTATTTTGTTGACTGACCAGTGGCCATGACACTGCTTTTCTTTTCTGCCCAGGCAGATCTGGTGTATGTGAATTATGGCCGTACAGAAGATTTTTTTAAGCTGGAGCGTGAAATGGAAATTAACTGTACAGGAAAGATTGTCATTGCCAGATATGGGAAGATCTTCAGAGGAAACAAAGTAAGGGTTGAGTTTTAATTTTTCTTCTGTGGGTCAGACACTGTTGATGGTAGAGCTTGAGAGAATTAATAAGGGCTGTTCATTGGAACATACAAGCAGAAGGAAGCCTGCAATGTATCCATTGTGACTGCAGTCTACAAAAAACTTCCAAAACAATAAAACCAGATGAATGTATTAAAGTCCTGAGACAGAGATGACTGCAAACTCCCCAGGCAGTTCTTGCAAGAGAATAATTCAGGGAACTGAGTAGTTTGTAGAGCCAAGTCTATTGATACATGCCATCCATAGAACTGCAGTATTTTGAAATAATAGCACTTTGACAAGGAGTCTGATGCACAGAAACTGAGTGACTATCTCTCCTGATTTTAGACAAGAAATCTGGCAAAACTGGTGATAGTGGGGCAGTGGGCATGGTAGTCAGGTTTTGTGCCTCATTTTTATGTTCTGTTCTTCATTTCATAGCCTTGAGCAATGAAAAAAGGTTTGACACAAATAATGAACATACTGTGTTTCACTATGCTTGGTTCTTCTGCTAAATCTGGGGTAATTTTCAACTCTTTCACATATTTGTCTTCTAAAAACATGCCTGCATGGAAGCGAATCTCAATGTTCAGATTTACTACTGCATTAAAAAAAAAGCTGCATCTTAAAGCCAAGTAATTTCACAGGTTAAAAATGCCATATTAGCAGGAGCCCAAGGGATCATACTTTACTCTGACCCTGCTGACTACTGTGCACCTGGAGTAGATCCTTATCCAAACGGCTGGAACCTGCCAGGTGGAGGAGTCCAGCGTGGGAATGTATTAAACCTGAATGGAGCAGGGGATCCTCTGACTCCAGGTTATCCTGCAAAAGGTGAGTGCAAGTTCTGTAGCCTGGACCATCAAGTACTTCATAAACTGCTGCTGAAAGTGTGGCGCTAGAAGTTAATTAATTTTCAGTACAGATGCACAGAAGAAAGCTGCTTGAAATTCTTATTGACAATAGTTAATCTTCTATTGCACACTAAGTTCTGTCTCTGTCATTCTGACTGCTTTCAGGTAGGCAGTGGAATAAAGTTTCTAGGAAACTCTTTATATGGTCCCACCCTTGTGACACACTTAAAAAAGCAGGATGTGTAAGTTTACAGACTGAAGCAGCAGAAAATGACTGAGAATTTATAGCCATGTTAAAATATCTCAAGAGGACCACTTTAGGTTGTACTTTGCCATCAAAGAGGACTAATAGCTTTACTTGGAGGTATGTTTCCTTGCTAATCATAAATTCCAGGAAAAAACAGTTTAAAATCCTTTTTAAGGGGAATAAAATTTCCTGTAGCAAAAATAAGAGCAGTCTGGAGTCTTTCAAAAGTTGGCACCATGTGCTTCTCTTGTCCTTGTTGGCATCCTAAACTTGGTCTGAGCTAAGATGCCTGCCAGTGCTGGGTGCTTGTGGGATGGCTGCACAGGGATGCTTCTGGAAAGCTCATGGGCTTGTGTGGCCCCTGCTGGGGACATAGGACAGTCTAAATCAGGAGAGGTTGTGTGTGCCAGGCCCAGCAGACTCAGAGAGACGCTGGCTGTCTTTGACCCAGGTAAATGCGTCTGTGCATGTCCTCTGCAGCTTGTCAAGCAGCTGCACAGGTGCCATTTCCACATCACATGCCAGCTTGGAGGAAATGTTATAACATGGTTGGACACAAATCTAGCCTTGCATCAAGCATGGGGACATCTTTTGCACTGCTGTGCAGATGGTTCTGTCATTACAGTTTGTTTTTCTAGAAGCAGTGTGTGAGTAATGTTGTAAGAATTAAAAAGAATCATGCATGCTGGCGGCTGCTCTGCTCAAAAGTGTTTCCAGTTTGGTTAAAGTTGCTAAGAATGCCATAAACTTTACATTTTCTTCTGTTTTCTCAGAGTACACTTTCAGGTACAAGGTTAATGAAGGTGTAGGGATTCCCAAAATTCCAGTTCATCCTATTGGATATCATGATGCAGAAGTGTTACTGCGGTGAGTATACATCAGCCCTCATCTCCAGAAGTCAGGGTTGACAAATGTGCTGACAAATTTTTCATATTAAGATGGCAAAGTCTATGTTGTTACTTGCATTTGCTACTCTTTTGTAGTAATGGAAGTAATTCAGAAGTAATAATGTAGTAATTAATGTAGTAGTAATGCAGTTATTCCAGAAAATGTGGAAAATTCAAAGCATTCTGTTTTTGCAATAATGCTTTTAAGAATTTTGTAAAACCACCTAGGTTTTGCTGCAATAATTATTAGGAGAATTTAAGGTTTCAGCCTAATGGTCAACTGCATTTGTCTTGCTTTTCACTTCACAGTGCAATGGGAGGACCTGCAGCTCCAGACAGCAGCTGGAAGGGAAGTCTCAATGTGCCTTATAATATAGGGCCAGGATTCACAGGCAACTCTTCTGCAAGGTCTGTTTTAGTACTTTTCTGTTCATACAATTTTGCAAAAAAAAAAAAATCTCTCTGAGGAAAAGGCTCTGAATCAATACATCTAGAGATACTCTGGAGATATTTACTTCTTTCTGCTAGGGAACATTTGGAGATAATTATTGGAATTTGAAAATAAATTCCATTACAAAAAGATAATAAATTAGCAGATCAAGCCACATGACAATGGCATTTGTCAATAAATTGCAATAAAGCTAAAGCTCACTTTTCTCTGACTTTTCCACATAAATATAGTTTCAGTTTACAGAAGATATTATTCAGTAGGACTGTTAGTGGACCCCAATAGACAGTGTGTAAAAATGGTATATCATTATCACTACTCTGTCTCCTGGATAACAAGAGTATGTCTGAATATATATATATAATTTTATTTTATAATTTTATAAAGACTTCATTTATCATTATTCTTTTCTGCTCTGCTTTAACACTAGCTAGCTGAAAATGAATAAAGTAGGAATAACTACATAAGAAAGCATATTTGACATAATTACAGTGCTGTTTGGAGTATCTAGAAGAGCAACAGTGAGAAAACAATATGATTCATCCACAAAACTTGTATTTTGAGTAGACTTTTTAACATCTTTCTACTTGATAGAGTAACATTTTTGTTGTAAATATGAATTAATTCTACTCATCTTTCTCAGAGCAGTTCCATATCAAAATGAACCTTTTGATTCTAGGTAGAAAGTCACTTGCACATGGGAAGTGTGCACATACACGCACGTTCAAGGCCCTGGTGTCTGTTACTTTCTGGGCAAAGATCCAGTGGCTGTCCTGAAGTGGGTTTTGATTTTGACAGCTATGCAGATTTGTTGCTGAAAAGATAACTTCAAATGTGGATCTGCTGAGGTTTTGCCAGAGACACAACCCCCCATTGTTTGGTGCTTTGTTTCTTCCACAGCTTAAGGGGGCTGAACACGTGTTAGTTTTATCTCTCCGAATACCTGGATTCCCTTGGTTGTTATAAAATTTCACAAGTGGATTTTACTGGTGGGGGACAGGGAAGAAAAAACTGTGCTTCTAGCAGAAGGTTTTGTGCCTCTAATGGAGGATTCCCTGCCCATGACAGGGAGGTTGGAACTGGATGACCTTTAAGGTCCCTGCCAACCCAAACCATTCTGTGATTGTGTGACTGACAAATCTGAATCACTTAGATCCACTGTCCTAAACACAGATTTCAGTTTATTCCTGGATGAATATTCCTAATCCTTTTTTCTTCAAGTTCTGTATTATTGTATGGCCTAAGCTAGGAAACCAAGGTTTATTCTCTATAAACATCTGCACATCCACAATTATAATTTTGGTCAAAATGTAGATTTTTTTTTTTATTACTGTGCATGTTTTTCAGTTTATTCGTTTAGTACACAATTATCTGATTGGTTCCCATTAAAAAAAGTTCTATAAATTCTATAAATCTTTGCAAATGTATAGACTAGCCCAGCACATAGGCTTTTTTCTAAGGCATCAGCAGCAGGCTTAACTGAAATAAAGAATGGGTCTCTGAGACAGCATGACAGTGCTGAACACACATTGGATCAGTGCTGAAAACTCAAAGCAGGACACAAGCACAAACTCTCTGGTTTATGTGTTATTAGCAGTGGCTTTTTATTGTCTTATTAATCAGAAATGGTTACTGAACACTCCCTTTCATTTCAGAAAAGTCAGAATGCATGTTCATACAAGCAACAAAATCACACGAATTTGCAATGTCATTGGCATCCTCAGAGGAGCTCTGGAACCAGGTGAGCATCAGTTGCTTGATGATTTTTTTTCCTTCTTTCTTTTGTATTTGTGTTGTACTTGTTTTGTATTTCTATTGTACTTGTGTTGTAGGAAAATTAAAGTGTTTTAGATAACAATACAATACAGAGTCTTGAGAAATTTTTAGTAGTTTTTCTGTCTTTCCCATCATACTATTTGTCATTGGCATTCCCAAGAATAACATTCCCTATAAAATACAGTGATAGACATCAGAGAATGTTTTTTTATAATGCCTGTCACTTTACAGTAGGCTTCACCTTGCATCAGTCATACATTTTGCCTTTGCAAAAATTAACATAATTCAAATTACAGAAACCTAGTGATGATTTGGAAAATTAACATTATACCATTGATACTATTGATATAATATATATTGATACATTATACTATTGTAGCAGGTCATACAGAACAAAGACTTTTAGATGGAAAAATATTTATTAAATATTTATTGTCTTTAGTTGCAAACCTTAGTAGAATAAGTGAATGATTGCAGATCCCCTTAAGAAATAAACTTGTAGCACTGGTATTGAACTTCATATTTGATTTCATACAAGTAAAGATGCAATCAAAGGAAATCACTGCAATCCTAGTGCGTTTTTAATTATTAATTGATACTGTATGTTTGTTTCCAGACAGATATATTATTTTAGGTGGTCATAGAGACTCTTGGGTGTTTGGTGGTATTGATCCAACCTCTGGTGCTGCAGTTCTGCAAGAAATTGTACGGAGTTTTGGTAAAATGAAGATGGAAGGTAACTTACTACAGATGTAAAATGATGGGTATGGAAAACAGCAGCTTTGAGGATTAGTGCTTCCATAAGCTGTTGTATTGATTTAACTTTTCACCTCTACAGAAAGTTTTATTTCTCATTATGAAAGTTGTAGATTAATTGAAGAGATACATATGTGGCATTGCGTGGTAGTTGGCTGAATTTATTCCCTCGTGAGTGTAATGGTACCCTCTTAGCTGTGCAGATTGAAAATATTGCGTTAAGAAGAAATGCCTCTGCAGTAATATGTTCCTCTAAGGATTTTAGAGAGGATTTTTTTACTGTTATATCAGTTAAGTGCTGTTTTTAAAGCAATTGCAATTAACTGTGGTCAGTAGACTTTTAAAGTATAAGTTGAACTTTCAAATTTAATAATGTAATTGCAGGTTGGAGACCTAGGCGAACTATTATTTTTGCTAGCTGGGATGCAGAAGAATTTGGATTATTGGGTTCCACAGAGTGGGCTGAGGTAAATAAAAAAACCTGTGTAAAGTAAAGCAGAACTTGAAAGTGTGTTGCAGGTGACTGCAGTACCCAGGATCTATTTCTAAACTGCAATCAAGAACTCTGTGCTAAACTTGGAGTACAGCAGACTCCTTCAGGTGTTGTGGGGCACTCATGTATTTATATAAATTACCTACCTATCTAGCTTCTTACAACATAAGTGCACTAACTCTTCTAAGATTCAAAAATCTACTTTGATTCAAAGCTAATATCCCACAGTGGTCTCTATGTGGAAATCTATCTCATAATTTAACAGAATTACAGCATTTTATTTAATCCAGATTGGTCTAACTTTCTATTTGAGAAATTCCTTAGTTTCTATAAATTCAAGTCCAGATCCTGAACCTCTGATTTGTAGGCATGCCAAGCCTTTGTATAAAAATCAATCCTCCTGTGCAAATGAAAGAATAGATAATTTATGAGTGAATAGAGTCAAAATTCCTGTGAATTCCAGCATTGTAGATTCTCAGGGGCAGGACAGCCAATTAATTCTGCAGGAGGATCCCTGACTATATACCTGCCTGAAAGAAGAATGTTGGCAAATTCAGAAATGAGGTTCTGGGTATTTCTATCTTCCTTTTCCTATTGGACTGGTATTTTTATCTTCCTTTTCCTGCCTGAGGGAGGAATGTTGGGAAATTCAGAAGTGAGGTTCTGAATACTTATATCTTCCTTTTCCTATTGGGCATATTCAGTTCTTATTAGATTTGTTCAACCCCAATAAGAAATGTAGGTCTTACAAGAGTTTTCATTGCTTTGTCTGTAAAATCCAAATTAGAAATAGAGCAGGAAGAAAACTGCCTGATAAAACCCATTTCTGCTGAACTATGTCAATTTATTAGTACTGAATAGTTTAACAGAAATGTGTTGTCTTATTCCTCTATTAGAATTTTATTTACAAGTTAATATTTAGCTGTGTGGATAGAGCTTTCAGAATCTATAAAATAAAAAATCTTTTCGTTTCGATTATTGGCATGGATTTCAGTAAATCACAACATTACATAGGAAAATGGCACATGTCAGAGGAGATAACAAACCCAGAAAAATGCTTCCAAAACACCAAGGGGATTCCATCACTCTTCTGTTAACAAAGCTGAGATTTCTGTTCCTTCAGATTTGCACTATTTTTTTCACTCATAAACTGTTAGGCTTCCAGCTTTAACAATGTCTTCATCTTACTGCTGATTTATGAAACATGAGGAAAAAGTAATTTAAATTATTTTAAATAATTTACTGAGATACTTTAAATAGTTGGCATTAAATTTTCATCCCACCTGAACTCCTGAACTCCACTGGTGGCAAAAATATCTGTATGTAAAACTTTATTTGTGATTTCTTTGTCTGTGTACCTTTGCATACATATAGGTGCTGTCAAGAAAAAAGCCACACAATTATTTTCATTATGAGGAATATGAAACAATGATGCTTAAGAAACCAATTTCTCTTGAACAAGTCATTAATAAATTAGGGAGTTTTCTTATGTTCTATTTGTTAAATATTGCTACTCCTGTTCTGTAATGGGTTTTGTGTAATAATTTGGTATCTAGTAGTCTATCAATAATTATTTCATGAAATGGAGGCTGTAAAAGGTTAGAAAACTGTAGGCACAGTTCATATTTGAAGGTGTCTTTTAATTTTATTTTTCCTTACTTTATCTTGGTGGTGTGCATTACTACCTTTTTAGACCTAAATTAGATTCAGTTTCTCTGGAGACATTCCTCGCAGCTTACATTCCTCTTCTCTGCAGCTGTCAGATCTGTCACGCATTAAATCTCGAGGAAAGTTAACCCATGATGTTCACCATCTTCTGTGTAACAGAAAGATTTCAGCTGTGGCAACACTCTCTTCATCCACAGATGATCTCCATAGCTCATAAACAAAGATATTTATTTATACTGCAAATATGATTTTGAGTATATGCAAGGCCCCATATGGGCAAGCACAGTCTTGCTTCCTCCCATCACATTCTTTTTATGGTCTCCTCTCCTTGTTTTTCTTTTTTTTCTTTTTTTTTTACATTATGTAGTTATTTATTACCAATTAAATTTTTAGTTCATGTGACTTACGAATTATTAGTTGGGTTATAAATTGAATTACTCAGGTAACAATTGCTAACCTAATTAAAATATCTGTCACTAAGCCAAAATCTCCTGAAATACCACTTGTTAATTAGAATATCAATTTCAAACATAATTACCAGTTTGAAAAAAAAATAAACAAGATGTCGGCATATATTTAGCATGAAAGCAATGCTTAGTGAACTCAAAATAGTCAGTCAACTGCATTTAAGAAGAAAATTTCAGTGCTTTGATTTTCCCTTTTGAAAAGGAAGATTGTAGGTGTGTCAGGAGTGCTTGGTTTATCAGTGTTAAAATTGAGTTCAGTGCTGGGAGCACATATGGAAAATGATGGGATGAAAAGCATGGAGGAATTCTGGCTGAGCTCACAGTCACATGTTGCATGTTCAGAAAGTCCAGAAGTGCAGAGCTGAAATGCATGTAATAACCTAATTTTGCTGTGCTACAATTCTCTCCAGTAACTTTCCTGCTCCATTTTGCTCTTGTGTGATGCAGCAGGCAGCACCTACACTTTGTGGATGTTTTCCACAACAAATTAAGTCCCAGAAAGGAGTTATGAATTTCGTATGCCCAGAACATTTACCCATCCTCAAACAATATAATTAGTAAGGTACACAGTAGTAATTATCCTGACTGAGATCTTAATGGTAATTCTCTAAAAAACAATGCACTTGACCTGCTCTTGACTAAATGCCACTAATTGGAAGTAAGAATTGTACATTTACAACCCTAGGAAAATGCCAAAGTCCTTCAGGAACGGGCAGTCGCTTACATCAACGCAGATTCTTCTATAGAAGGTGGGTATTTTATTTTAAACTTTACGTGACTTTGCAGCTGTAATTTTTATTAGTTCTCTGTCAATTATTTACTGCATGAGATAGGTATTGGGGTGTACAAAGTAAGTGTAGCAAATATGGAGTTAAGAGGAGAGGGAGAGCAATTTAAGTTTTCACGTTGCTTTCTTTTGCAAGTAGTGCCATCTATGAGCTGCAGTCCACGTATCTGAGTCCAGAATATCTCCTCTGGAGGAGTTTATTATTCTGTGCTAATGAACTGAGCATTCTGTATGTTAAACTGTCTCTTAGCTGCATTAACTTTAATTTACAATTGCAGTTTTAATATATGACAGTCTGCTCCTTGTTCTGGTCACAGCTCCAGCTCCTTTCCCTCTGGAATTATAATATTTTGAGACAATAAATTACTATGATGTTAAGACCTCAGGCTTACACTTTCTGGGGGTGGAAGATGCTTTGGTGCTTTGAGCCAGTGCGCTCGCCTTTGTTGATTGCCAGGAGCAGGGAGTATATATTTATTACAGCAGGACTTTTTTAAAAAATAGACCCTGAAAAGTGTCTCACAAAAAAACCTTATCCACCATTATCCAGTTTACTGTGTCCTTCAGATTATGAGAAGAATATGCCATTCAGGAATGCTGCTTCGAAACTGGGCTTTGTTTTTTTTTGAGAGGGTCCAACACTATGATCTATATTATAAAGTCCTTCTGAAATTGTGCTGGACTTTATTACAGAAAGACCTTTTTTACTGTTTTCTGTGCTGAAATAATAGTCAGAAGGGTCCTGTGAAGCTGCTCTGCAGCATAACCTGTGTTACTCAGGGCATTACTCTTCCCATGTCAAATCCAACTTATTTGGGCTTCCTGTGAGTGAATAAAATTGATATCTACAGGCATATTTAGGAACTCTTTTTATTCCTGTCAGCTAAAAAATTTTGTCTATCACAAGAGGATTGGAAAGAAAGAAAAGCCAAACCCAGTTTCTAAATGCTCAGTTGGAGCTGGGAAATAAGGAGGGTTAGAGCTGTTCCTTCATTTAAGCTGCCTAGATGCTGTGTTAAAAGTAGAGCAGAATTTCACACCTAGAAAATCTCACAAATGAAATAATAGTTTACAACTGCTTCATATTCTCACCATGGATTGTAACGCATATTTTTTAGTTGGTTTGCAGCCAACATGCTGCTGCCTTAACAATTTTCTTCTAAATCTTGATTATTCAAACATGTCTCTTGCTTTATGCATTAAAGGAAATGCGAAAGCAAAACAACTGGAAAAGAAGTGTGTAATAAGGAAAAGAACACCATGTTCAGTGCACTGGCTTAAATACCTTGGACATCTCTCACCTGAGCAGTAAAATCCCCTGTGGACTCATAGCATTCATCTACTCTGAAAATTATTTTGTTTATCATCATGTATTCTTCTCAACACTTCTTATACCACTTTTTGGACAGTGAATTATTTCTATTTATTGTCCTGTAGCAATGAAAAGAAGCAAAGCAAGTCAGTGTTTTAAGCACTTTTGTGGCTTGAATTTCCAGTTTTTACATACAGACTCTCCTTGGAAACATCATTAACATTATCTGGTATTTTTTCCATCATCTCACTGTCTGCCTTCTGTTCAACAAAAGCTTTGGGAAGTGTATGAGTGACAAGGGCTTGTAGCTAATGAGGGATAATTAGGCATACTTTAGAGCTGTGGGAAGGCTTAATTACATTACTGTGGATGTACTATAACCAATACTTTATTGCCTTGTAGTGGCAGTAGCTTACAAAGTGAGACCATGCAGTCTATTGCTGTATATATCTGAGGCAAGATCGAAATTTTTGCCTTAGTCAAAAAGTTTTTCTAAGAAAGGACTGCAGGGTTTAATCCATTAAGAAGATAAAACCACTAGTACATGAAGGGAAAATTTCCATGTTTTTGTTTCATTTTCAGGTAACTACACATTAAGAGTTGACTGTACCCCTCTTCTCTACAAACTGGTGTATAATCTGACAAAAGAGGTATAGAATCAATCTACTTTCCTGCCTTTTTAACAATAAGTAAGACTCTAAGTTTATTTGATAAAATTGGGCTATCGAATAATACCAGACTCTTTTTATTGCTGTGCTAGAAGATTCCACCAAAATCAATAGCAAAATATCCCATCAGCAGTACACACAGTTCCTCAGTATTCTTAGAAGGATGGAAATGTGTCACTGACATAAGTGGAATCTTATTTGCAATATACAGTAAAAAAAAAAACAATAAAAGCGAAATGCTTGAGCAAGATCAATTCTCTAAAGTTATAAACGTTGAAGGGAAATATTTTTGACATTGACTGGCTACCATTTTCTCTCTGTCTGTTCCCCTGAATCTCCTCCATATCTCACTCAGCCCCTGAAATGTGTGATAAATATTGAAGGATTAAGGTGGTGTTTTAGCAGTCCTGATGTGTGGATTTGCTTTGTTTCAAGTGGTCTAACCATGACTCCTTTACTTTCACCTCTCAGGATAAGTTATCATAATGCTGAAAGGTTGTGATTCATTAAAGCATGGAACTTTATTTTCCATATGAGTTAACCAGATTAGACTTCTGAGCTATTGCCACGACCCTCAGATGTGGATTCATCTCAGCTAACAAAAGACAGAACAACAGCAACACAGGCTCCCTGTAAAGGCATTGGGTAGAAATTGGTGCCTTTAGGATGAGATTTTTTTGACCAAATTTGGTTGCCTACCTTTGTATGTACTGAACTCAAACTATTCCCCCCTAATCTTAAGGGAACTCGGGTCACTTGGTCCAGTGTAAAAATCTGCCTTGTAATGGCACTTAGTAGGATGACTCCAGCTACCAATCTCCCATAGTGCTAGATGCATTCATCCCAAGTTATTTTCAAACACAGCACACTTCTACCACCTGAAATGCCATGGTTTAGATCTGGGAAAGTTTATCTGTGCTATTCCCATGATTTTATTTTCTATATTTTATTTTCCTGTCAATTCTGTCTTAATCTTTCATCCTTGCAGAGGGAAGAACCTGTGCCGTTCAAATATTAGCTCTGACACTTGGCACACTGAAGAGCATTCTCTTTTGTCTAAAAAAATTTTCGTGTCCTTAGTGCTGCAGGGCCCTTGATAAAATAATTTACTTTCTGTCTGCACTAAGCCACTAACTCAGGAAGACATTTCACTGTAAAAGATAAACAAAGTTACAAAAAAGTGCTCGATGCTAAAATTAGTACCTAGCTCTGATCTTAATTCAACTATTCAGCTATTGCTGGTTTGAGTAGAAAACTTCCATTAAAGTACCATGCAAGGTACTTGAGACTGACTTGTAAAAATAAATGTCACATTCACTGTTATTTTAGCTTTTAACAGTAGAAGTATGATGTTAACAATAGAAAACCTGGCAGCCTGATTGTGCCTGTCCAAAGAAAAGTTATTTCTGTTCATATTAAGGTGTCCAACATCCAGTTATCCAACCTCCAAAGATCTCTTTGCTCTTCTTGTTTTTTAGTGGGCCAGTCCTCACCAGAAAGAAGTCTAGTGTACACATGAAGTGTTTTCTTTCAGGGAGTTCTGCATTTAATTGTGGTCCAGCTACAGATGGGACATTGAGCTGTTGACTGTCTTCTGGGCCCTGCTTCACTGCCAGCGTTCAGACATTTGGTCACCACCAAATGGTGTCTGCAATAGTTCAACTCCAATCCTCCTGTGATTATCACTGCTTCTTTTGCATTTATACTTAGAGAACTCTTCATCTTCTCTTGAGTTAGCAGGAAGCTTATGCTGATCCTAGATTTGGATCTAAGTCAGGGCAAATATGTTTTACTGTGCTCTCAGTGTTGTATGAAAAAGCTGACTGATGTTTTTACATGACCAAAGCTGTTAGAATAACATCTTTGCCAGAGCATAGAGTGCTTTTCCTCCCACGTGTCAGAGTTCAGCTTGCTCTTATTAATGTGCAGTTTTCACTTTAGCCCTAGGACTTGACCAGAGTACCCAGAAAATGACAGCAGCCAAGCAGTTATTTCAAAAAGTTGTTATTTTCCTGCTAGCTGCTGACAGAATCTCAGAGGTCAGAACTCTTTGCAATTTCAATTTGGAGTCTGAATGCTTTTCAAGGTCGAATTTAAGTCTCAACAACATGGTGGGACCATGTAAGTGTCCATGAACATTTATGCTTTGTATTTTGGAAAAAAAAATTCCAATCCTCTGCACATAATAGCCAATCTTATACTTAAAGGACCATGTCTATTAAAGGTTGTTTAAGTGTAGGTGGAGACCAGGGTTGGAGTCTTGACTTATTTCTACTCTGCCACAGATTTTCTAAGAGCTTTCGTCAACTTATTTAATACCCGTTCATAGTTCTGCTGGCAGCATGATGACAACACTAATACTTACCTTTTCCATCCTGGTTACAGAGTTTTTGGGGGTTTTTTTTAGGTGCAGGTGTGAGACCTACATTTGTACATACGGTGTCTTGCACAATGATTCTCCAGGCTTGGTTGAGTTCCCTTGGAACTGCTACAATTATTTTGTACCTTTCCTGAAGAACAAGCAGTCAAATTTTAGGTTTAGCCTTGTTGAGAGAATATTGCTGCTGTGCAGGGGAAACCTCAGGACAAACAGGTTGTGATTGTCATCTCCCCATGCTGAAAGGAAAGCAGGTTCCAGTATACTGAGGAGTCCCACAGTATTGTATTTGCTGTTGTGTGTGTCCATGCACATTTCCCCTGTAGTAGATGAGCTCCAGGTAGCATCCTTTTAACCTGTTCTTTCCTACTGTCTGGGGTTAGTTCCAAGTGCCTGTGAAATGCTTTCCTTGTTTGGGAATGCATAAATGTGAGTAACAAATGTCAATATTCACTTCCCTGCAAGCAGCAACACTGCTGGTTAAGAATGAAGCTGGGAGCTGCAAAGATCTCCTTTGATAATGAATCGAGTTTGAGGTACTTCCAATGAGATTATCATATTTCCCTCTCCAGATTTTAAGCCCTGATGAAGGTTATGAAAATAAATCTCTTTATGAGAGCTGGCTGGAGAAAGATCCCTCATCTGAAAATAATAACTTTCCCAGGTAAGTTAATATGTTTCGGGGTTTATTACCCCAATATTTTAATCATATCATGGCATGGCTACTCACTAGAATTTTTTGAGATGTGCTATTTATGGCAGCAATAAAAAACCTTTTAGTGCAAGGTGACCCTCTAGCAGTAATATTTTAAATAGTAAAATAAAATAGTATTATTTTTATTTAATGATGGTGACATTATTCCTGTGATTAAATGAAACCTCACACTTTCTAAAGTCCTTTATATTAGTAGAAAAGCAATTTGAAAAGCATTCAAAAAAAAGCAGGGGGGGAAAGGGTTCAAAACATAGTATAGTCACCTACTAGATAAGATAAAATCAAAATTGTTAGGATAAGCAAACAGCTGAAAGAAGCTGCCTAGAGCAGTAATTAAAAAGCAGTAATTAAAAATCTTGAGATAATTATTTCTTGTTTATTCAATGAATGTAAATGTATTACATTACAAATCTATATATGAGTGTGGTAGCATTTCATATTTCAAGGTGTTGCAACTCCAAAACACTCTTTCTACCTGTGACTGAGAAAGGCTCAATCTTGTTCCCAGTGTGGCATTACTGACATAAGGCAGACAGATCTGCCCCCTTTTGTGATGTGACAAAAATCTTCTGCATGTTTCTGGCTCTGCTAAGATGAGTTTCTGGATTCATTAGACCCACTGAGATTTCTTCCTTTTGAAAAAGCAGCCACATTTGATCTTTCTTAGTTGATGCACATCGTTCCTTATGTACACAACTGCAGCTGGAAACAGAAGAAACTTTTTTTTTTTTTTTTTTTTTTAGCTGATAAACACTAATTATTCATCCGGCCAGACACATAGACCTGAAACTTAACTTCAAATGTAAATATTTGAAAATGCTTGGGGTGCTGTGTCTGCCTTGTGCCGCCGCCTCGCCCCTGCCACGCCGCAGCTCCCCATCAGATGGCAGCGGCGGCCCGCGGGTGCCGAGTGCGGGAATGCCGAATTTCCAGCGGGAATCATTTATCGGCCTCGGGTTCTGCTGCGGAATGCGCCAAGCACACAAACACATCTGTCTTTACACATACTGCTGCCCAATTCGTATTAGTTTGGAAATAGATGATTGATGTTTTAAGACGGCAGAGACGTGGCTGATACAATTTTAGGGCTCCTGTGCATAAATTATTTGTATTTTTAATGTCAGCGCTGCCATAATAAGGATTGCTGCAATTAAAAGATCTTCCTAGCAATATTGGATACTGAATCAGAGTGCTGGAATAAAATCAGTTAAGTGATTAAGCTTGCCGTTCATCTAGCCTTTGATTTTGCTAGTGTCCCTGATGTGCCCTTCAGAAGAACTGACCTCAATTTCTCTGAAAAATCTGCATTTTGCATACATTACTACCACACTGTTCAGCAAGTGCCCTTACTAAGATGTTGTCTTTTCTGCTTGCAGAATAAATAAACTGGGGTCAGGCAGTGATTTTGAAGCTTACTTCCAGCGACTGGGAATTGCATCAGGCAGAGCTCGTTACACCAAGAACAGGGTAAGTCCGACAGACTGTGTGAACAAGTTTGATAGTGCTGAGCAGTCATCCTGTTAAAAGCATTTATTCATAATTAATAAAAAAGCTTCAAAGCATCTTTGACTGGTTTGTATACAGTGATGTTTCTTAATTTAGCAAGAAACCGAAATGTTTGGAGAATAAAACATGTTACAGTGGTGTGTATATTCTATAGGATGTCAGTTCACAGAGAGGTATTTATAGAGTCTGATTGAAGGTGGACAGTTTGTTCCACCATGCTATTAATAGTCCCCTTAATATACAAATCTTCCATAGCAGTGTTCAGAAACAGCTACAGAAGGTAAAAAGGGGCTGTGATTGAAGACTTGCGTTATCCAAACTCCAAACTGTTTTCACTCTTGGAGAAGGCAACCTCTGTGCAGTGGAACTGAAGGCAGGTCTGTGTGGGTAGAGAGAAGGAAGCCTGCTCACTTAATCCTGCGCAACAATCCATGAAATCAGATTGGTTTGATTTTTTAATACAAACACACACAAATGAAGGATATTAAATTCTGTTTTGTAACAGATAGCTTTTTTTATTTGGAAACCAAACAAAGCATCAGAGTCATAAAGGGATCAATACATCTTTTAACTCCAGTCAGAATACAGGGCATTGACAAATTTGCTTGCTATTTTCCAGAAAGCAGACAAATTCAGCAATTATCCTGTTTATCACACTGTGTATGAGACATTTGAGCTAGTGGAAAAGTTTTATGACCCCACCTTCAAGAAACAGCTAACAATTGCCCAGTTACGAGGAAAACTGGTTTATGAACTGGCAGATTCCCAGGTCATTCCATTCGACTCTAGAGACTATGGAGAAGCCTTAAAAGGATACAGCAACAGAATTTATAAATTAGCCAAGAAGCATGAGGAACAGCTGAAACTTTACAAAGTATCATTTGGTGAGTAACAGCCACAGGTCTGGGCATTAATTAGAATCGTGCAGGGACATGTTACATCTGTCATAGCTCTGCAAATTAATTCCTTTCTTTCCTGTTTGAAATTTGCCCTCATGGTAAAGAGCCTCAATTTTTTTTTTTTTTTTTTCCTAAACACAACACAGGTTTAGCTCATTATTGTCTTGATAAGAGGGTGTGGTGGGTTCAGCGCTGGTCAATTACTAAGGGTTATAAGAATTTTCATGCATATTATTAATTACAGGCCTTATTACAGAGCTGACAGGCAGTCGAGGACCTCAAATGTAGGACAAAGAGGTATCTCAGCCTGGTCCTCGCTTCCTTGCTTAAAAAAGAAGACAAGTCAAGTGTTTATGGCAACTGCTTTGAAATCGAGGGACATAGGTGTCCATTCCTCTTCATCCAAAACTTCATCTGACCCTGGGGAGCTCCACCATCTCCCTCAGTGCCTGGCTGCCGTCTTTAAGCCGCAGGAGCACCTTTCCAGCTCTCCTGCGTGAATACGTCTGTTTGCTGGGCACCTGAGCACATTGTTCTGGAGCCCATAAAACAGGTCTAAAGCAGCACAGTGCTCAGATCCCAGGCTGGGATAGCTATCTGCTAGGATAGCTATCTGCTGGGATAGCTTCCACAGTCATTTTCAGTCTCCTCTTTTTTCTTGCTTTTTCCTTCTTGCCTTGATCACTCCTTGTGTTTCTGCACCAAGGAGATATTTCAGTCAGTGCTAATTCGCTTGCTATCTGATGAACCCATGATTTAGAGACACAAATCACCTTTTGGAGATGCAGTCCTCGTTTGGGGCATGTGAAACATTGTAAGAAACTCAAATTGAACCCACATTTGGGCGAAATTAAAAATTATGCTTGAAATGTCACTAATGGTTTAGGTGAAAAATTGTTGACTGTTTTGAGAAGACACCCTTTTTTGTAAAAAGGCCTCTTGAGACAGAGGAAGCATCTTGTTTGATGGATCATCTGGTCTGAGATTCTGTAAAACACCAAGAGTTCCTTCAATATGTTCTAATGTTCACTGCAGCATGTCTTGTAAGATCAAATCTTTTCCTTTTTTTTGCAGTAGTAGAACATCTATCAAAATATCTGTGAAATCATTTATTTTCATTGGTTTTTTATCTATTTTCAGACTAAAAGTTGCACAAACTACCTCCTGACCAATGCATCTATTCTCATTCCTAGAATTTAGAAGCAATCTTCTACTTTTAGCTCTTTTTTTCGCCCAAATAACACTGAGACCTCTCCTTAATGACTTTATAAATCTGTTATTTTGACTATTTTTTACAAGGCATGTTTTTCAGTCTCATCATTATTTTCGTGGTTCTTCTCTGATGCCTGATGAATTTTAAATTATTTCCTGAATGAAGCTAAATTTTCTAATTTTTTATGTATTGTATTGCACCAGAGTACATTAAATAACATAGGTAGGTTTTACAATGCTGTGAAAATTAAAGTTTGTTTTACTCAGCATTTTCATAGAATTGTTTATTGTCAGCACTGAATGTCAGAAAATTGTTGATTAGGCCTAACTAAATCATATAATTGTCCTTTAAAATAATAGATTAAGGTTCTTATTTGCATTTGGATTGACATTTTAGCTGTTCATCTGCAACAATGAAGGCTGAAGTGTTTTTTTTTTTTTGGTAAAATTTCTGCATGTAGTCATATGCTATCAGGAAATAATATTTTCAAGTGGGGAAAAAAGAAATGTGATGTTTTCTAAAATAACCAACATTGACAACACTGAAGAGCTAGTGAACATGAACACCAAGTTTCTTACATTATTTTTCAGATGGTCTTTTTTTTTTCTCTCTCTTAAATCCCCTCCTACTGCTTCTGAAATATAATCTGTTGTTGTGATATGGCCATGATGTCAGCAGGGCAGGACTCTGCCCCTGGCAAACTGAGAGCTCTTGCCACAGGGCTGTGGACAAGTGTGAATTCTCACCCTCACAAGGTGACATGTCCCTCTGGGCTGCAGTCTGTAAACAGCTTGCATACATAAAATCTGTGCCTCCAATTGCACCAACTAAACAACAGCAATCAGACAAAAATGAAGCGAGTGTAGGCTTGTGATGAAAAAATAAGTTTGCTAGAAATAGGAGAGCAAATGAGTCTGAGGAACAGCTTTCAGTAGCAGTCCTGGGAACAGAAAGCCTGTCACGTGAAATTGGATGATAAAGCTATAAACAGTGAAGGGATAATAGTTGCCAACAGAGGACTGGATTTAGGGGATGATCTAATCCTATGTCCCATCTTCCTGCACAAATGAAGAGAGGATACTCTGGTTTAGCCAAAGTCTTCTGAAACTTGTGGGCAAAATTTACAAGTTTTAAACTGTCTTCCTTTCTAGTTGAGTTGGGTGTTGATGGGGCCAGAATTTGGTGTCATAATCTCCACCTTTGATTTATTCTGATAACTTGCATAAATCAATACTTTTTCCAGGTCTGTATTAAATAGAGCCTTCCACATCACAGCTGCCACTGCCATTAAAAGGAAGGCCTGCTGCTTCTCTAAGTTATTCCACACGTGTTGGATGTACTGGGCAGGGAAAAGCAGCAGCCGTTCCTGCCCACCTGCCTGCACACAGCCAGGCAATCCCCTGGGGGCTGAGTGGCACTGCTGGGGACAGCACGGGGGAACCTGGCACAGGCACCTCCTGTGCTGCGATTCCAGCGTGCAGCCAGCACAGGACGTGTAACCTGCTGTGCCTGTCCCTGTGTGCCACGACAGCTGTGCCTCCTGTGCCTCACCTCACCCTGCCCAGAGCACGAATCACGCTCTCCTGTTGTGCTGTGAATGGCACATCGTTCTCCTCAGCAACATCCTGCTGTTCTCCCACAGCTTTCTGGAACAGCTGGGGTTTCTGATGGAAGTCAGGCTTTTATACCTGAACACTGCAGTGCATTTGTTTAACAGGAAACTGCAGAGCTCTCAGTTTGCAACGACAGCCAGTTTTTTGCTTGCAGGGCAAAGGGAAGATGTATGGTTGTGAAAGCTTTCCCAAGCACTCTGCTTTACTGCTGCTCTCATTGCAAAAGGTATTTGCTAGTAGTGCAGCTTTTTAAAGTCTGCACTAGGGAAAGTAATCAATTATGCAGAAATTACAAAATTAATGCTATTATATCAGCAAGACAAATGTAGTTCTTCTCCCACTGGGCAACTGAAAGGTATATTTGGCTTAGTGAATACTATGAAGTTGTTCATGTAGTCCTTCCATTCCTAGATCCTCTTTTTTCTGCTGTGGTGAACTTCTCAAAGGCTGCTTCTGAATTTCACAGGAGACTTGAACAAGTTGATAAGAAAGAGTAAGTCAGAAAAAAAAAATTATATATATGTATATATGAATATATTTATGTCCTGGTTTGCCTTAGGTAGCCAGAGTGGCAGTTCTTTATCTCTTCTGCTACACAAGGATTCTCTCTGATGAGTGTAGAACAGAGCTCTGAGCCCTGAGACAGGCAGTATCTTTTAAGATGAATTAGCAGATATAGGAATGTTTCCTGTGATTGATGCCATGGGCTGTAGAGCTTATTACTAGTATCAGGTTGTCATTAAAATTACTCTAATACGTGGAAAGGCAGGTAGCAATGAAAGAGTTGGACTGAGATCTGTTTAGACTATACATGAGTGTTGTAGGTGATGCCATTTGAAGGGATAGAATGTAAGAGAATAGTGCAGAAGGTAGTCTCACACCTGAGGAGTTGCAGCTGTGCTAATCACCAAAGACTAGGAACAGGCCTGTCCTTAATAGGCCACAGCTGTGTCCAATAAGAAGAAGAGTGCTACAAAAGAGTGAGTTAGCTGGTTGAAGAGAGAGTTGGATTTTGTTGGTTGTGCTGTGAAGGAGTCAGTGCTGCAAGGAGCTGCCCATGAAAAACCACTGAGAAGGTATGGGACTTTTGCAATTTGATGACAACAATGCCAGAATTTTTCCTTTCAGCACACTTCAAAGACAGAGGATGATGACTCAGAATATCTCGGATATCCATATGATGCTTGACAGCCTTGCAGGATTCCCATGCCCTCTGAGTGCAGTCACTGCAAGCCACATATGGTGCCAGTTGTGTTTAGACAGCTGAATCCCATCCTTACTATGTTACTGTATAGACTGGAACAGGACTATGGACATTTGGCTTATGGGTGGGCACTAAACTTTAGCTATCTTCATCTGTGTAAATCTTGGTCTTCTCCATTCTCTTAAGTGCCATCTTTCCAGTGCCATTTAATAATAAACAAGTATCTGACACTCTCAGAAAGTTTCCCATTTTATTTTTGCATAGTGTGAAATGTTGTTTTCTAACACAGAAATATCAGTTCATTAATATAACATGGAGTTAGAATCTGCATTTGCAAAACCTCATATTTTTTTGTAAACTGTAAACCACGCTTGTCTTTTTTTCTTTTTCTGTCAAAAAAAAAAAAAAAGAGAAGGAAAGTGTTTTAAATGAAACTGGGAGGTCATGTTTCCCTGCTGTGTGACGTTTCTCTGTCTCCCTCTCCTGCAGTTCGGTTGCAGTGCGCATCATGAACGATCAGCTGATGTTGGTAGAAAGAGCTTTCACTGATCCTCTGGGCTTGCCAGGGAGGAAGTTTTACAGGTGAGGCTGAAAGTTTCTTGACCTGCTGTCTAAGGCACCCTATTTTTGCAGCTGACCAGTCAGTTGAGTTGCTTTATCGGTCTCACAGCAATTACAGTTTAACACATTGCTTTGAGTACAATCCAGCAAGTAGTGGACTTTGTTTATAATCCTTAAGGAGAACTCCTTGGCTACATCAGTCTTGTGGAGCCAAATTCATCTCTTTTGGGTCTATTTATCACGCGTGGTTAAACCACAACAGCATTATACTCTGACTTTTACTTGTAGGTGTGCAGTACTACTGCTGTTACAACTTGCTCATGTGATTGTCTGCAAAGTAAGGATTGAGTGAAGAATGAATGAACTGTATTGAAAAAAAATAAAGTGAAAAGAGGGTAGAGTAAACGAGAACAGATGTGTAATGAGGGTCAGTTGAAGAGAGAAGCCAAGAAAGGAGGGTTTGGAGAGGGAGGGACCCTTCAGCACAGGATAAAGGCCTGTGAGCTGTGCTGCACAGCCCCATCTGTCCCAGTTTTGGCTGCTTCTATAGGTGCTCCCAAAGGTTAAACTAATAACTACTACATCCTTTCTAGAAACACAGTGGTTTTATTAGGAATACCTGTCAAGATGCCAGCTTTCAGTGTCAGGGGTGTAAGTACCTCACTTTGCTTTCAGTATCCCCTCCTTTCCTAACAACTGGATATGTCTGACTCACTGATGGATGGCTTTCTTGCCATGCCAGAAGTCTTTCAGGCAGGTAGAACTGCAATCACATTTCCATCCTCCTAGGATAAACTGTCATTTACACTTTGAGAAGAATGAAGTAATTTCTTTCTAGAAATTTTCTGTTGGGTGTTGGGTATCATTTGGAGCTGTATGGGGTTTTTTTAATTATTAGTTCTTACTTGCTTGCATTTATTAATGAAATTTTAATGTTTCTTTTCATTTGGGAGGACTTTTTCACATGGTGTAAATGTGCTTTGATACTTCATAGTTATAATAAATTTAATTGCAGATTTACAGCTATTATTTAAGAAAAAAAAAAACTATACCAAAAAATAAGATTGATATTTTGTTCAGTTCTGATCCATTATGATCACATCTTTTCTCAATGATTCATGCTTTTCTCAAGAATTCGCCCACAGATTTTTTTTCTCCCTCCTTTTAAGTTCCTTTCCCAGGTAAGCAATCTGCTGACCATCATGCAGCCCGTTAGCTGTTTTTGAGGTTTCTACTCCATTTCTCACAACACACCATTAACTAGTTTTATTCCCTGTTCTCGAGTTGTGAATTACTTAGACAGGTTTGTTGAGCTCCCATTTTCAAAAAGCGTAACATGATTTTGTTCCTAATTAGACAAATGTGTCATTTCTTCCCAAGGAGAAGCTCACCTGACCTAAATCTGTGCCCTTTCCAACAGATTTTAAACTTGGGATTGTTCCTCTCCTTTTAAAGACCAATTTCCTGTGTGTTTAGTGAGTTCTGATCTTCCTGGGATTCACAGCTGTTTATATAGTACACATACAATGAACCCACACCCTATTAATAGTTTCTTTTATTCAGGATAATTGCCTTTTTCTTCTTTTCCCACAGACATGTTATCTTTGCTCCAAGCAGCCACAACAAATACGCAGGAGAATCCTTCCCAGGAATCTATGATGCCATGTTTGATATTGAAAGCAAAGCTGAGCAACAAGAAGCCTGGGAAGAAGTGAAGAGGCAGATTTCCATTGCAGCCTTCACTGTGCAGGCAGCAGCAGACACACTGAAGGAAGTAGCATAGGATGAGGGCTTTGAAAACTCCCACAGCAGAGTGTGGCACACAGAGCTGTCAGGCTGCTGCAGTGTCCCAGACTGCTGCCCTGCCTGAGTCTCCAGCCTCCCAAAGCACATGGCAGGTGAGCAGAGCTCTGTGTGCCAGAGAGCTCCTGAGCTAGGAACTGCTGCATCTCTGCTACTGACAGAACTGTAGCTTCATGAACAACCCTGGGTTGGAAGCAAATTTGGATGTGAGGGGAATTGGGGAGGGGGGGGAAGCAGGAACAATCAGTTTCTGATTAGAGTTTTCTGAGAGATCTACCAGCTTTGAGGACCCAATGTTTTGGATGTATAGTTATGAAAACAATTATTTGCCAAGCTACCTGCAAATTTTGTCCACAGCAGTAATCAACATCACACATTTTGATGGAAAAAATGCAATACTCACCCTGTACATTTTTCTTGTTCTGATAACTACTTTTATAATAGAAGACACCAAAGGCATCTCTGCCTTTCAGAATCTATTCTGCAGGACTGGTGAATGCTCTTTACACTGATTTGCTTTCTTTTCCATGAAAAAAATAAGTGACTCTCCTACTGGTTGCCAAATCAGTACTGGCCATTCTTGATAAAGAAAACAGCTGCTTATGTGCAGAAAGCCAAAAGCACACTTTCAGTGGAGTGCACATTCATCCCACTGATAGTCTCCATGCATCTCCCTCCTTTGAAAAAGTGCAAATCTCTCTCCCTGCTCTTCTTGGCACCTTCTCTAATTCTGAACCCACAGCAGCTTTTGTTCCTATTTTCTCCCAGGCAATCTCTTTCATATTTTTTTCATCTGAAGGAGCTGGAGGACACTTACTATTAGCACGGAGCTTGAGATAATTCTGTCTTCAAGTAACACCTGAACGACACTTCCCAGTAGGAGCTGATTTTACATTAAAAGAGGAACTGAAATGCTTGAGAAGGCCAGTTGTACAAAACTGTTTAGTTTGTATAAAAAGAAAAAAAAAATTAAAATTTCTTGCTTCATTTGCCCTTTAGGCGTAATTCTCATCTACATGCTTTAAAACTAATAAAATTGCTAGAATTTTACTAAATCATATTCCAGCTTGTGGAAACTGACATTAGCCAATTTCATCTCTTATGTAAAATATACTACACTTTTTCTCACTACCATAAATTGCACCACATTGTAGGAATAAAATCTTAGTTTTATGGGGAATAGAACAGATGTGGCCCTAAAAAGGAGAGAATCAGAAAAGCAGGACAGGGTTAATGTTCTCATCTCAGATGCCTTGAATTCAAACATGGGAACCAGAAATAATTTGTGGGAAGCTGTTTTGGGGGATATATGCCAGCTCAAGAAGAGAGGGTTTCACTGGTATTGCCTCCAGTACACCTCCATGAAGGATGAAGGATTGTGTGCTTGTGGATGTTTTTCTCATACCTTACTGCTCAACTGCTTTTTGCAGATCAAACCTTAGGCACATGAGGAGGAAATTACACTTCTACAGTCCATTCTGTTGGGAAATGGAGTGCAAAACTAGCTTTGCTAGCACGCACACAAGAGACAGGAGTATCTGATGCTGGGGCACAGAACAGGTGATTCTTTCCCTCTGCTCTGGCAAGGCTCCACCTGGAGTGCTGCTTCCAGCCCCGAAGCCGCAACACAACAACCATGTGGGCCTGTTGGAGCAAGTCCAGAGGAGGCTGTGAAGATGATCAAAGGGCTGGAGAATCTCTCATGAGCACAAGATGGAGATGGCTACGGTTGTTCAGCCTAGGAAAGGGCAGGCTCTGAAAGACATTATTCACAGCCTTCGAGTAGGTAAAGAAGGATGAAGAGGGATTATTTACAGGGGAGTGCAGTTATAGGACAAGGGGGGATGGCTTCAAACTGGAAGAAGGTGGATTTAGAGTAGAATAAATTCTTTACTGTGAGGGTGATGAGGCACTGGGACAGGTTACCCAAAGAAGGTGTGGATGCCCCATCCCTGGAGGTGTTCAAGACCAGGCTGGAAGGAGCTCTGAGCAACCTGAGGTCTAGTGGAAGGCATCCCTGCCCATGGCTGGAACTAGAGGATCTTTAGGGTCCCTTCCAACCTCAACCATTCTATGATCCTATGAACAGTGGATACATTTTTGTTGTTCTCTTTACTTTTACCTAACTAGGGACACTCACACTTTTCATCTGTAGCTGAACTTACTGCTTAAGAATATCTTGCAAAGATGCGAGTGGTACATAACTGCACTGGGTTTTTCTGCCCTTTCTCTGAATCATGTGCCCTTCCTGCTCCATCATAACTTTACATTAACTGCAATGGGCAGTACTGAATGTGCCACCAAGGGAGGGTTAGGATATCTGGATGGTGGAAAAAAGCCATTAGTACCTCTTCCTCATGAGCAGCAGCCAACTTCGGATCTGCCAGTGGTTGCTGCTGAAGGATCATCAGAGTATAAGGCAAACAAGGAGCTTCCACATTGTAAGGAAATATTTGTTGAAATTTTCTTCTTCCTTCATTTACAGAAATGTATAAACCAATGAACAAATGTTTCACCAGTAAACACAACTCTTTCAATGGCAGCTAGCCTTTGAGGTTCTGTACTATTACCTTGCTGCTGCAAAAGAGCATACAATCTCCTTGCTTCCCTGTGCAGTTTGAAGCTGTAAGAATAAATTACAGCTCACGGCAGGCTGAATGCACAGCTGGCATTGATTGCTTTGTTCCTCTTGTCAACTTAATTGATAACTGTGTGAATGTGAGATTCATCATGACCAGCTACATCCTGAGAAGTACACAAAATATATTAAATCTATTTCCATTCCTGTCTATAAAGTTCTACTGAGGCAGAGTGATATCCAAACCCTTAAAGTAAGGAAACCAAACCACTTATAAATTGCTTATACTAACTAAATTCCACAAAATCCCTTATTCTTGGTATTTTAAGGATCAGTTACTCAGACCTCCAATTGTCTTTCCTTCCTCAATGAGTAGAATCTTAAGTTATATAGATAAGCAAACAAGACTGTTGCTCTCCTCCAGTGCAAAGTGTAGCTCTACCTTCCCATAATTTTAAAGTATGGGAAGGGAATTTTTCATAATCTTTACAGATGGGTATCATTATCCTTCCTCAATTCCAGTTGCCCAGTTACTTCACTCAGCCTGGCTGAAACAATCAGTGAGTCCTACAAAGGGGAGAAACTGACCCTTCATCCTAGTAGACTGGAGCTGCGAAGCAATCTGGCAAAATTAAACTTGGATGGATCAAGTATCACTTTGGTATCTGGGTTGTCAATTGCCTCTTTAGAAAATCAGTTCCAAAGGGACAGTGCCTGGAAGTTTATTTCAGCTTGGAAACAAACTTTTCAGCAGGACCTGTTGCTTTAGTACATGAGGTAATAGTTTTAAACTGGAGAAGGGTCAATTTAGATTAGATACAAGTAGGATTTTTACAATGCAGGTGAGGAAACACCAGAACAAGTTGCCCAGATTGATGGTAGACACCCCATCCCTGGAAACATTCAGGGTCAGAGCTCTGAATAACATGATCTAGCTGAAGATGGCAATGGGATTGGACTGGATAGCCTTTAGAGATCCCTTTCAACCCAAACCTTTGATCCAATGATTGAGATTCTCTTATAGTTGAAATACCTTTGCCTTGACTTTGGAAAGAAATCTGTAACCATAGGTGCTGGAATCTGCAGGTGACACTCTGTCAGACTCACCTGGGGACCCCTCTCGGCAGCTGGTAGAAATTGGACATGCATGACCTGTTTTTTCCTCTCTAAATTCCCCTAGTTTTATTTATAGGATTTCAGTGTACAGTTAATAGTGCTACTGAAAAAGCTGACTGATGGTGAACATCAGGAACTTCCCTATGGCAGAGCAAAGAAGACAACACTAATTATATGAAATACAGAATCTTGCTTCTGCTCTTCAGAGCAGAACCAAAGTGTTCTGTTCCTCAAAGACCAGCACCTGCTCATATAAAGTGTCCTTAGAGAAACGCAGGAGCTGAATTTAGCAAGCAGTCTTTGTTAAGGTAAAAGATTGTTCCCATTACACCACTGAGACCTGTGCCAGTTAGAATCTATAAGGTCCAAGATGCTTCTGTCAGCATCAACAGTGCTTCTCCTGATGGATGCTGCACCCTTAAACATCTTCAGCTCGGGGAATCTAGGAGGAGGATAAGAGTGCTTTGTTAGGCACCTCATGCAGGAGGGGCTGGACCTGGTTCAATTAAACTCCAAACATGTTCCAACCTTTCATTAAGGGAAAGAACAGGAGAGGCAATGATAGAAAAACATTTCACAGCAGGGATCGGATAAGAATAGACTTGCTAAGTTTACATGGCACCTTCCCCAGATGTGCTTTCCTAGCCTGCTGACAGTGCAGCTGACATGTTCCTGATGCTGCCATCCACACTACTTCCAAACTTGGCTGTACTTTTAGAAGGAAACCCAAGTCATAGTTGCTGGACACAGTGACGGTTGTGACAATGCACCCTTATGTAACCCGTAAGAAGCAGGAGTCCAGGCAGAGGAAACATGGCCAGCTGTGAACACTGAGCACTGGAAGATTTAGATCTGAGGTCGCTCATCCCTTCACATATTTCTGCAACCACCACCCCCCTACTGAAGCATTGCTTTTGTTTTCTGTCTCCTAAGCCATATTTCCATACTCTCCACCAGAACCTGCATGCACTAAAACTCTCTTCAGTCTGCTGCACACACCATATTATCCTAGCACTAACCTTACAGGAGTGTGGGTACTGACAGCAGTGACAGTGCTGTCCACTGCCACAGCAGAGGAGTCACATGTAAGCATCCTGCCAGTCTTATTACAGGCAGAAAAGAAATACACTTTGGAACTAAAGACAGGTTCATCGTTGGAATGCTCAAAATCTTAACTGTGTGATTGAAGAATGATTAGTCTCTACTATTAAAGAAAAAAAGAGAAGAAATTATAGTACAAACCTTTCAATGGAAAAGCAGTTATAATATTTATAAGCTGTTTCTCTTCCTGGGACCTCTGTTATCAAACAATGCCCCTTCTCCAATCATCCCATATCAGTAGTCCTCTACACCACATCCCACGCCTCAGTTTTCAAGGCCCCTGCACGTATCCCTCTGCAACAGGGCACTAGAATCAGCAGTACGTTGCTCTACACAGTAAACCTGCTTTGGTTTTAGTAGTTATGTAAAAAAATACGTCTATA